CCCCAAAACCCCAAAACCCCAAAACCCCTTATCTTAGTTTCGAGGGTTAAAGCGCTAATAATAAGATAAATTGTTATTAAATTTAATTAGAGATAGGTTGGTTGTATGTTTGCTTAAAAACGTAGTAATAGTATTTAATTTTATTATAAATTATAATAGACTTTATAGGCTTATATGACCTAATTTACAATGCATAATGCAAAATTCACAACTTAGTCAATATGTATAAAATCATTTTGATATTATTGAATCCTTAGTATTTCGATGGTATTATATTACTTTATCTTTAATTGAATTAGAGGATTCAATATCCTCATCAGTTGAAAAGTCTGGTAGGAAGTCAGAAACTTCATTAATTTCAATTTCTTCATTAATATCCTCATCTAGGTCGAACGGAATAACCTGCTCCTCTGATAGCTAATTTTCTTTCAATAAAGAAAAACACGAATTAAAAGTTGTCCATATTTCATCATGTTCTAGTATCTCTGGGTTTAGAATGGCATCATTGCAATCTTTTAAAATAAGCTCATCTTCAAAAAGTGAAATGAGATAAGAGTAGTCAGGGCTGGCTTAAAAGGTTAAATTTTTTATATAATTCCAAAATATTCTAACTGAATTTGGAAGACCTAGCCTATTAAATAGTTCTTCTCTGATACCTTATTTTAAGTAGAAATGATTGATGATATCCTAATGAGTTTTTTCAAGTCCATTAAGTGCATTTTCTTTAATCAGATGTAGTTATTATTAATTTACTATTTTTTTTAGTGGTACTTTAAACAAGTAAAGTATAGTATAAAACAAAGACTCAAGATCATCTTGACGGCTTATGGTGTAGCCCTACATCTAATTCAAGCTGGCGAAAGCTACAGTGCAAGTAATGTTATTCACAACTTCCCTTTCAACGTGGACTTAAACACCATCTTCATTTTCTAGTAAATATCTCTAAGAGCCTCCAAAATCGATCAGGGTTACTCTTTATGTATTATATTTTATATTATTCTTAATAATATTAAAGGAGGACGGCTCCTCTGAATGGTACCCTTCGTTAGGTCCAAAATATTGATTATTTATTTCGTTATTAGGATGGCTGAGATTTTAAATGATTGTGGGTCTCCTGTCTTTATCTATTTCTCTTTGTAATAGAAATCCTTATCCTCCTATTAATATATTTTAGGGCTTGATGTCTCCGTGTACAAATCCTGTCTAATGAAGCAACTAGAGTTGTCTTAACTAATATGATATTAATACAATATAATGAAAATTACTGTCTCTATCACTATTTTCAATATTGTTTATTTTCCAAATCTCTGCTTTGGGCATTGATGCATAAGTTCGCTTAAATTGCTACCAATTAGTGGTATTATAATTGAATTAGAGTACAAACGATCGGATTCAAAAGCGTATGAGGAAATTTTTGAGAAATCTTAAAAGAAAGTTTTGCAATATTAAAATATTACCTTATAGTCCTTTCTCTCTAATAGCTTTTTGCATGGCTTTTATCTTATTGATTTCTTGTAATTATTAATCCCTGTTTTCATTCTACATTAATTTATGAGAAATTACATTTCTTACTCTCTTTATTACTATGGGTAATTTCCTTTTTAGATCGTATGCTAGTTTTATTGTGGAGAAACCACCTTCAATACTTTTGTCAAATTCTATTATCTAACTCATTCTTAATCTTTCTTTAAATTATATAAAACTTCTATTATCAATATTTACTCAATGTCTGATGCACGGGGTTTTGGGGTTTTGGGGTTTTGGGGTTTTGGGG